AAAAACAAAAAAAAAAAAAAAAAAAAAAAAAAAAAAGTGAACTGAGTTTGGAATATAAAATGAACTTAAATTTTTTTTTTTTAAGTAATTGAAAAGCAGGGAAAGTAAGTGCAACAGATAGCAGCAGAGAACTCCCCAAGCCTCCTCCATAGGACTGGCTTCCCTCCTGCTACCCTAGCAGATCAGGGTTAGGATGACTACATTCTGAGAAAATAGTGGGGTTCCCCCTGTACATCTAAATAAGGATCTGTGTTTGTCTTTCTTTCTTTCTTTCTTTCTTTCTTTCTTTCTTTCTTTCTTTCTTTCTTTCGAGCTATACATTTTTCCCCACCCCGCCTCTCCTTTTCCCTTTCACTCTTCCCCATACATTCCCAGTTTACTCAGGAGATCTTGTCTTTTTCCCTTCCTAGGCAGATCCATGTGTGTCTCTCTTAGGGTCCTCTTTGACTCCCAGTTTACTCAGGAGATCTTGTCTTTTTCCCTTCCTAGGCAGACCCATGTGTGTCTCTCTTAGGGTCCTCTTTGTTTTGTTTTGTTTTGTTTTGTTTTTCCCGAGACGGGTTTCTCTGTGGCTTTGGAGGCTGTCCTGGAACTCGCTCTTGTAGAGGGTCCTCTTTGTTACCTAGGCTCTCTGGGGTTGTAGTCTGCTTGTCCTTTGCTTTATGTCTAATTATCCACTTATGAGTGATTACATATTATATTTGTCTTTCTGGGTCTGGGTTACCTCACTCAGGATGGCTTTTTCTAGTTCCATCCAGGGCCTGCTTTTTGTAACCTCTAGCGCCTGTAGAATGGAGTTGGACCTCAGAATATCTCAAATAGTAGTCTAAACAATAAAACAGATCTGTTGCTCTGCTTTAGGGTCTCTGTGATCTCATGTCCAAATGGAGTTGGACCTCAGAATATCTCAAATAGTGGTCTAAACAATAAAACAGATCTGTTGCTCTGCTTTAGGGTCTCTGTGATCTCATGTCCATTTTTTTTTTTTTTTAGAGCTGCAAATCTGTATTTTTGTTTATTTGTTTCGATACAGGGTTTCTCTGTGTAACAACTCTAGCTGTCCTGGAATTTGCTCTGTATACCAGGCTGGTCTCACACTCACAGAGATCCGCCGGCCACTGTCACAGGAGTTCTGGGATTAAAGGCATGTGTGCCACCACTGCCCGGCCTATATTGTTTTTCCAATACAGATAGGAAGCAAGAATGGAAGACATGATTTCTTTCTTTTTTTTAAACTTAAACTAGTGTTTCTCAACCTTCCTAATGCTGTGACCCTTTGATACAGTTCCTCATGTTGTGGTGACCCCCCCTCCATAAGGTTATTTTTGTTGCTACTTCGTAACTGTAATTTTGATACTGTTATGAATTGTAAATATTTGTATTTCCTAATGGTCTCAGGTGACCCCTGTGAATTGAGAATCTCTTATTTAAATAGTACTATCTAAATTAGGATAGCCCTTGTGGTGATATTTTGTTTATGATCTAACAAACAAACCTTGCTTGAAGATCAGAAAGCAGAGCTAAACCACTAGTTAGCCACACACACCTAAGCCACTAGTTAGCCATAAAAGACAAGCAATGGCGACCACACCTTTAATCCCAGCATTTGGGATGACATGCTTTTAATTCCAGCACTAGAAAGGAATGTAAGGCAGGAGTTCAGTGCAGTCTCAGGTTTAATGGAGAGTATTGCGGTCTATAGTCACACTGAGGACAGGATTGCCTCCCTTCAGTTTTAGCCGTGGTAGAGGTAAGAACTCTAGTGGCTTTGTTGCTTTGCTTTTCTAATCTTCAGGTTGAACCCCAATATCTGTCTCTGGGTTCATGCTATAAGCCCTCTCATAATTTAGCATATAGAAATTAAGTCCCTGAAATCTAGGATAGGAAACAACAGAACAAGAAAATTTAAAAGAACTCAGCAGGTGATTGAGTTGGGTTGTTTCTATTTGTTAACTCTATTTCCATGAGTGAGAGGTTTAAAGCTAAAACAAAGCAGAACATTAAAGAAAATAAAACAAACCATTTTAGAGGCCTGGTGTTGCCTCCTTAGTTTAATTTAAAAAAAAAAAAAAAAGGATTGCCTGGTGGGGGAGGGGGTGGTGGCACAACCCTTTAATCCCAGTATTTGGGAGGCAGAAACAGGCAGATTTCTGAGTTTGAGATCAGCCTGGTCTACAGAGTGAGTTCTAGGACTGGGTCCATAGCTACTGAGAAACCCTGTCTTGAAAAACAAACAACAACAACAAAAACAAACAACAAAAGAAGAGATGGTGTGGTAACCAGAAGGCACAGGAGGACTAAGAATTTACTTCTATGTGTATCCTCACTTTGCCATGTGGTTACATTAACCAAGGTGATCGCCACTTTTTTTTTTTAAGCTTTTATTTATTTATTATGCATACAACATTCTGCTCCCATGTATATCTGCACACCAGAAGAGGGCACCAGATCTCATAATGGATGGTTGTGAGCCACCATGTGGTTGCTGGGAATTGAACTCAGGACCTCTGGAAGAGCAGCCACTGCTTTTAACCTCTGAGCCATCTCTCCAGCCCTGGTGATGGCCACTTTGCATGACTTATGATGATATATATCATCAGTCAAGATGGCAGCCAAACACGTGATTGCTTTAATTCTTTTTTTTTTAATTTATGTGAATTGGTGTTTTGCTTGCATGTATGTCTGTGTGAGGGTGCCATATTCCCTAGAACTGGAGTTATGTGACCTGCCATGTGGATGCTGGGGATTGAATCTAGGTTCTCTGGAAGATCAACCAGTGCTCTCAACCACTGAACCATCTTTCCAGCACATGTTCTCAGGTCTCTGGTCACCAGTTTAACTGACTTCCTAGTGAACCTAGGTTCTCTGGAAGATCAACCAGTGCTCTCAACCACTGAACCATCTCTCCAGCACATGTTCTCAGGTCTCTGGTCACCAGTTTAACTGACTTCCTAGGACACATAGACGTTAGAGGTGGAAGGTCTGAGGGGGACTTTCCTTGTTAGAGAGAAGAAAATAAAATTACGAGCCCATCCCAGGATGGGGGAAAGGTGCCGGCAGCTTAATGAGCACACTTTCCTATCCTTTTAGGGTGTGGCCTTATTTCTTACCTTGATGAGGTGGTCCTAAAATCCCAAAACGAAATCCCCCAAACTCCTAGTTTCTCAGAATTTTGTCCTTCTCAGAGAGAGAGAGAGAGAGAGAGAGAGAGAGAGAAGTAAAAAATATAAAAGGAACAGTAGCCTAGGGCAGTGTGTCAACAAGTCCTTGAGTAGCTAGGCAGCTGCTCCATACCCCTCCCTCTCCCCTTGGAGCCTGCCATCTTCCTCTGGCTTCTTCACTTTGCTCCAGGAGCCAAGCCTAGCCTTGGTGAGCAGCTTTGGTGGAGGAGCCCTCTCTAGAGAAATGTGATGGGGTCTCGGGTATGGGAGCAGAAAGCAGGGGCAAGAGTCATGGTAAAGACAGTCAACTGTGTGTGTGTGTATGTGTGTGTCAGGGTTTCTCTACATACATAGCCCTGGCTGTTCTGAACCTTACTATGTAGACCAGGCTGGCCTCCAGCTCACAGAGATCTACCTGCCTCTGCCTCCGGAGTATTGGGATTAAAGGTGTGGTTACCACGCCCAGGGCAGGGAACTGTGAGGATACAAGGCGGGGTGACATTGCAGGTGCAGGACATTCTCACAGATAACTGCAGCTAGGACTCCCCTCAAGTTCCCTCCCTAGGACAGGAGCCTCCGGCTTGCCCTGACCTGTTGCTCTTTCCCTTTTCTGCAGGATGAAGATGAGACGCTACAAGCTCTTTCTCATGTTCTGTATGGCTGGCCTGTGCCTCATCTCCTTCTTACACTTCTTTAAGACCTTATCCTATGTCACCTTCCCCAGAGAACTGGCTTCCCTCAGTCCTAACCTTGTATCCAGCTTCTTCTGGAACAATGCCCCTGTCACTCCTCAGGCCAGTCCGGAGCCGGGCGGCCCCGACCTGTTGCGGACCCCACTCTACTCCCACTCCCCCTTGTTACAGCCACTGTCCCCCAGCAAGGCCACCGAGGAATTGCACCGTATGGACTTTGTGTTGTCTGAAGACACCACTGAGTATTTTGTGCGCACCAAAGCCGGTGGTGTTTGCTTCAAACCAGGTACCAAGATGCTGGAGAAACCTTCAGGGCGCAGAGAAGAGAAGCCTGAGGTGGCTGAGGGCTCCTCTGCCCGGGGCCCCGCTCGGAGGCCCATGCGGCACGTGTTGAATACGCCAGAGCGCCTGGGTAGCCGGGGCACTAGGCGCAAGTGGGTTGAATGTGTGTGCTTGCCAGGCTGGCATGGACCCAGCTGTGGGGTGCCCACCGTGGTGCAGTATTCCAACCTACCCACCAAGGAGCGCCTGGTACCCAGGGAAGTGCCGAGGCGGGTTATCAATGCCATCAATATCAACCATGAGTTCGACCTGTTGGACGTGCGTTTCCACGAGCTGGGCGATGTGGTGGACGCTTTCGTGGTGTGCGAGTCGAACTTCACCGCCTACGGGGAGCCACGGCCGCTCAAGTTCCGAGAGATGCTGACCAATGGCACCTTCGAGTACATCCGACACAAGGTGCTCTATGTCTTCCTGGACCACTTCCCACCCGGTGGCCGGCAGGATGGCTGGATTGCAGACGACTACTTGCGTACCTTCCTCACCCAGGATGGTGTCTCCCGCCTGCGCAACCTGCGGCCGGATGATGTCTTCATCATCGATGATGCAGACGAAATCCCTGCGCGTGATGGTGTGCTGTTTCTCAAGCTCTATGATGGCTGGACGGAGCCCTTCGCCTTCCACATGCGCAAGTCCCTGTATGGCTTCTTCTGGAAGCAACCGGGCACACTGGAGGTGGTGTCGGGCTGCACTGTGGACATGTTGCAGACCGTGTATGGACTGGATGGCATCCGCCTGCGCCGCCGCCAATACTACACCATGCCCAACTTCCGGCAGTATGAGAACCGCACAGGCCACATCCTCGTGCAGTGGTCCCTCGGCAGCCCCCTGCACTTTGCGGGCTGGCATTGCTCCTGGTGCTTCACACCCGAGGGCATCTACTTCAAGCTTGTGTCGGCTCAGAATGGTGACTTCCCACGCTGGGGTGACTATGAAGACAAGAGAGACCTCAATTACATCCGCAGCTTGATTCGCACTGGGGGCTGGTTCGATGGCACACAGCAGGAGTACCCTCCCGCAGACCCCAGTGAGCACATGTATGCTCCCAAATACCTGCTCAAGAACTATAACCAATTCCGCTACCTGTTGGACAACCCTTACCAGGAGCCAAAGAGCACTGCGGGGAGTGGTCCCCGGAACCTGGGCTCCGAGGGAAGGTCATCATCTGCCAGGGGCAGGTTGGATACAGTGGAGGGCTAGGGGCTGGGCAGGCTGGGGTGATGGCTACCCCAGTGTTATCTTTGGCCTCCTTGAGTCCCTGGAGGCTCTTGAGAGAGCCAGGAGTCCTTGTAGGTGGTTCTCTCTGCTCAAGCCCTCTGGAATTAAGGGTCAGGCCTTTTAGCCCAAAACAGAAAAGAAAAAGTAATCTTTTCCAGTACAGAAGAGCAAGCCCAGACATCTGTGCAACATTTTGTCCCTAAGGGTGCTGTGGGCAAGAGGTATTCCTGGAGAGCATAAGGTAGTTTTCTAGGATTGTGAGGGCTGTGGAATTTCAGTCTAGTTGAGAAAAGCCGGCCTTTGATTTCCTGGATTATTGACCTGTGATGGAAAAGGGGGTATGCCATACCAGGAGTTCCCAGGATACTGTAAATAAATGCATTGGGGTCCAGAAGTAAGAAGAGCTGCAGAGTAGGGAGGGACAAAAAGGTGTATCTGCTCTTAATCTTGGCCAAGAAGCTAGGAAAGCAATGGAAAATGGCACCCTGGAGAGAGAGCACTTTGCAGCTTCCTCAGAAGAGGCTGGACCCAAGGAATGAGGTCAGTGCTGGCCAGGAGGATGGAGCGAGTGACTGTCAGTGTCAGAGCCATGTAAGGAGACATGCTAGGGGCCTGAGGAACCTTCCTCTTGGTTCCAAATCTAGCCTTGAAGGCTTTTTCACTTTTCCTATTGCTGTCTCATGGGATGCCAGCTCAGCTGCTTGCAAAGGACTCTAGAAGTCCAGTTCTCAGGGTGGGACAGGAGCTGGAGACTGTGGACAGCCAGTATAGTATGTGAGACAGGGAAAGGAGGCTAACATAAGCTCTCTCTCTCTCTCTCTGTCTCTCTCTCTCTCTCTCTGTCACTCTCTCACTCTTTGCTGGCATCCGGTCCCATTCTACCACCATCCCAGATGTAATCATTCCTGTCTTCCACTCTCTGACCCACTAAGAGCAGGCTAGGGCCACAAAAGGATCACAGGGTTTTCTGGAACCCAAGAAAGGACTTTAAGGTCAGTGGTATATCAACCCATTCCTCTTAATTTGCCTTGGGGCACAGGATGTGTTTGTTGGAGAAGATTCTGAGATGTAGAAGCCCCTTAGCAAACAGCAGTCAAGTAAGACCAGCTTGTTTCTAATTAAGTAGTCTAGGGGCAGGTGGTCCAGAGCCTGTAGGACAGTCCACTTAGCCTCACACACAACTTGCAGGTCTGGATAGAGTGGCTGTACCTGCTCACATGGTAAGACGAGGAAGTGTGAACTCTTTCCTATGAAGGGCAGGAGTCATATATGTTGCTTCAGATAGCATCTTACTGGTCAGGACTTAGCTGCATGGCTACAAGTAGTGCAAGGAAAATTGGGAAATGTAGTTTTAAGCAGGGCTGCTATGTGCCTGCCTCAGTTTGAAAGTTCTGTATTACCAGCAGCACCTTTGTGGGAGGGGTGCGAGTGAGTGCTCAACATGGGACCCTGCTCTCTCCCTGCCTGCTCCATGGTTGAGGTACAGTAGGGACTTAGATGTAGGGAAACAGTGGGTGCCTCTCCCTGAGGCCTCTGGTGTTCTCTTGATGCAATATGCAGGGCTACCTGTGGAATGGTCTGTGTTTGTGTGTGTGTGTGTGTATATTTATGGGCATGGGTGCATGCTTGGTGTGTATTGTACATGTCTATATCCATGTGTCCCTGAACTAAGATGATGCTCACATGTGGGTGTAGGATCATAGGCTTGGCTGTCCTTTTCCCTAGGACCTGGAGCCTATAGTCTTGTCTCCTGTGGCTCCTCAAGATGCCTGAGGTAGGGAGTCCTTGGGGGACCTTGAAAGCAAGGGTAAAGGGAATACAGGGTCTGTCTGTCTGTATGTCTATCTGTTTTGTTTTTTTTTCAGACTGAGGAATGGAATCTTGCTAGCTAGAGGGCTATGCTGCTGAGCGCCCAGCACTCCCTCAGCCTCTTTTGGACCACCACATCCTCCCACTGATAGCGCAGCACCTCCTGGATAATCTTATTGGAGGCTTCCTGAGAGGTTTCCTTTGAGGTAGATCTGTCTGGAGCAGGTTGTCAGGCGGTAGGCATGGTGTGCGGGCAGCTCTGGTGAACAGTCAGGAAGCAGGCTGAGGGGCTCCATGGCTCCTCTCCTCCCATTGAGGGACACCCCCACCATGGTATCTCCCCTTTAAAGAGCTTCCCTCCCTGGTTCCTCTTGACTGAGAGGTGGCTCCAGAAGTCAGAGTGTCCCAGAGACGTATGGGTCCATCGGTGCCAGGGCACTCTTCTGAGATGCCTGTGGGTGCCCCTGTGTGATGCCTCCTCCTCAGATGAAATCCTCACCCCACAGCCCCAGTAACCTCAGCTGCTTCATAGACTCCCCCATTTCAGGCATTCCAGGGCTTCTACCCACAGGCGACTAGTTCAGGGACACTGGGAAAGCACAGATCTGCTGGGCTGGCCTCTCTCAGACAAGTAGGGGGATAATAATATAACAGTTTCAACCAGACAGGAAGAGGCCTGGCCATGGGCTGAGAGAGAACACCTGTGAGAGGTGAGGGCTTGAAAGTTTCACATCTAACCACAGCACACACTGGGAATTTGAGGGGCACAGGACCCAGGACGAGACCCCCAGTATGAAGGGAAATGGATTTGAATGTGGGCACATTCTCCAGGAACCACTGATCTGTGACCTCTAGACCCAAGGAGGCCTGTTCATTCCAGGCATCCTGCTGACCTTGTTCACCCAGGGGTCACAGCGGTTATAGGGGGCAGGCATGATGAAGCTTTGGAGGCAAAGGTGAGATTCAGGGTGAGAAGACAGGACTCAAACAAGCAGAAGGTAGGGCCCTGGGAAATGTATAATTTAAGGACACCAATAATAATAATAATAGCATTATTTTTTTTGTAAAGGAAAATCAATATGTACATTCTGAAATCATTTTCTCTGTAAATGGTTGAATTTCATTTCACCCTTAAAGGGATGCTTAAAGGAGAAAATAATATTAATAATAAAACAGCTGTGAAGACTGGAGGGTGTGTGTGTGTGGCCAGTTTGTAAGTGCTCCAGGGCAGAGATGGGTGTGAGCAGACAGCTCTGGTCTTGATGTCAAGACCTGTGGGGCATGAGGCCTTCACAAGGACTGGATGTGTGGGGAGAAGGAAACTGTATCCAGTCCCTTCACTTAGGGGTGTGACCATCCCAAACTTGGGCTTGTGTTTCTTACCTGTGGATGGGATTATAGATACTAGGCCTCTGTTCTGTGGGAGGAAGAAGGAACCCTGTATTCTAAAACTGGTGGCACCTTCTTCTGGGGTCAGGAGGACCCTATAGGGGTCTGGGTAAGGGCATTGGTGGTTACTCCCACAGTTCTGCTTGGAGCATCAGTACCTTTGGGTACCCTTCACACCCATTGTCTACCAGAGGTTCTAAATGCCTCATCACTTGGCTGCTTAAGTTCTGGACCTGGGGGATGACCATCTCTGTCTTTGGGAGCTACAACAGTCTCTGAAACCTTGGAGCACAAAGCATCTTGTACCTAGCTGTGTCCTAAAGACAGTCGCAGAGACAGTGGGTCAGACTCTTAAGTGCTGCCTGGCTCCTTTGCGGAGGAGCGACTGTGTAACCGCCACATCACACCAAAGATCCAGAAGCCAGAGAGTGACAACGATGCTAGTGGCTTGATCTGAGATCAGAACTGCCCAGAGTGTGGTCTCTGGCCACACTCCCGAAGTCCAAAAGGAGCTAAGTAGGTGTTTGGAGTAGGGTGGAAGGTGAATTCTGTAGAATACAAGAAGTGAAAATGAAGACACCCCAGCCTGGCCAGAAGAGGGCGACAGTGACCCACTTGCCTTTAAGTTTTACAATTCTAGTTTGTAGCATCAATATTTACAAATAGTACATATATTTGCAGGCATTAATTCTTAAATAATTAAGCATTTTCAGCCAAATACTAGCCTGAAAATTCAGCTCCATTGTGTCCATTTGACCAAAGTGGAAAGTGAAACATAGACATCCCACCTGTGCCTCAGACATCAGTGTGGCCCATGGCAAGTTCAAGTTCACCTGTGGTCAGAGGCTGATGTCACTGTAGGACTCCACTTCTGCACACCGGCAGGCTGAGGAGGAAGATGGGAAGAGACAACGGAGAGGATAGGTACCATGACTTAGCTAAAGCTGCTAGCCAAGCCAGACATGGGCCCAGGTTAGGGGACACAGGACAGTCTGCTGTTCAGAGGCTGGCAGTCATGCGGGGACACAGAGAGGAAAGTGCAAAAAAGAAACAGGGAAGTGTAAACTCTGGATGCTGGGGTGCAGGTATCACATGCCAGCAAGTATACTGTGTTGTGTCTTCTGTGATGGCTGTCTGGGTAGGTAGCAGCAGACTCCATGACTCCTGCTCAGGTTGTTCTTTGACTTCTAAACATGAGGCATACAGTGCTTTAATGCAGAAAGAGAATTAATGATATCTGTAAACCTTCATCCAAAGGGGACAGCTGAGAGCCATGTTGATAACAGCTGTCAGATTTACAATTAAAATACCACTGCCAAGCTGGGTGGTGGTGGTGCATGCCTTTAATTCCAGCATTCAGGAGACAGAGACAGGCAGATCTCTGTGAGTTCAAAGACAGAGCAAGTTCCAGGATAGCCTCCAAAGCTACAGAGAAACCCTGTCTCAAAAAACAAATGAACAACAACAAAACAAAACAAAACCCACTGCCAAGAGACTGAGAGGTGACTCACTGATAAAGAGTAAGTATTGTAATTTCAGGGGACCCAAGTTTGGTTCCCAGCACCTACATCCAGTGGTTGTGACTAGCTCTGTGGGATCCAAAGCGTCCTAAGGTATTCATGCACGTGCATAAACCCCTACACAGACACACATATACATAATTAAGCATAAACATATAAATTCTGGGGCTGGAGAGAGAGCTCAGTGATTAAGAACTCTTGCTGGTCTTGATAAAGGACCAGAGTTTGGTTCCAGCACCCACATTAGGCACCTCACAAACACTT